GAAAGGGAGTGAGTGTGTTCCAACAAACAGGCATAGACAGATGCGTGGGCCCTGGGGCCAAAACAAGCCAGCTATGAATAAGAATGAGGACCTGGTGCATGTGCACGCACACACACACATGCACAGACTGGTCTTCTAGTCTCATAGGTATGCAGATGCTGAAGTTGACAGGACTCTTGAGTGCTTTTCATCAGGTATGCTTAACTATTATTAAAGTGAAAAAATGCAGAGATGATGTCTCTGAAAGTCAGCGAGATCAACAATATGTAAGGATGTCATGTATCTGACAACAAATGTTTAGATGCACAATTGAGGCCATGGAAGATTCAACACAGAGATAAGTGATATAAAAATATTTGTCAGCTTATGAGTTGGGCACAGCTTTGCCCATGTGCATCACACTTGAAAATGCAAATGCCAAGATTTTCTTGCTCTTTCCTTTACACAAGTAATTAAAAAAAAGAAACAACATTGTTCCGCTGGCAGTAGCTCAGTCTGTAGGGATTTGGGTTGGAAACCAGAGGGTTGCTGGTCCCGGTGTGGACCAAATATGGAAGTTGGTCTGGTAGCTGGAGAGATGCCAGATTGCTTCATGAGCACTGCTGAGGTGCCCTTGAACAAGGCACCAAACACCCTCCCCACCACCAGCTCAGGAGTGCCTGCTGGGGGTGTCCCTGACATCTCTCCATTAGTGCATGTCCATCGGATCCTATTTGTGCATGTGTGTATATTTCAGCCTATGTGTGTGTTACATGACTTACAGAGCGTAAAAACAGAATTTGCCCTTGCGGGATCAATAAAATTGAATCTTAATCTTAATCTTAGAATGCATCACCAGCTACTGATGTAGGAAAAATACTTAACTCAAGGGAAACTAATTTATTTTTTTTTTTAGAGCTGTCCAAATTTTCTTGTGTTCATTTCTGAAATGTGAGATTAAAATAATGGAGATACAGAAGACAGAGGAAAGGTACGCTTGGTTTTGGCATATGCTGTGGGAAATATAATGGAGCAGGTGCACCATGTGAGAGCCACTAGAAATAACAAAAATATATATTGTGCATAAAAAGGGGGATTCCAAGTTAAAATCAACACACACACACACACACACACACACACACACACACACACACACAGACACAGCCCAAACACGAACACAATCCATTCCTAAGGCTCACCTGTTGAACCAACTGTAACCTGTAACATCAGGAATACATAATAAACCATTCAATCCAGGTAACTCTGCCATTTAGCTGCAGGCAGAGAAACATTGAAAGGGGTGTGAGAGGTTGAGAGAGGAAGAGAGGACGCACATAAGCAGGAGGAAAAAAGGTCAAATGTACGTCCAAACATTCCAACGCAAAAGTGCCGACAAGCCAACACACATACAGTCAGTGAGGGATTGTTAGTGTCAGCTTCTCCATCACACTTTTCAAAACAGATGTATCCACCAATCATCTCATGTTGTCAATGTTAAATAGACCTTTGGATACTAAGTCAACAAACTCTATGCACTTAGTAAGGATTTCCTTTGGCAGTCTTGAGAGTTTCTAGAAATTTTAAGGACAGAGTCTGCTCCCATTGCCCTCCGAGATGGAAACAGATCCTGCACTTTCTAAAGATTTATTTTTTAGGGCTTTTGTGCCTTTATTGTAGAGATAGGACAGTGGATAGAGTCAGAAACCAGGGAGAGAGAGTCGGGAACAACATGCGGGAAGGAGGCCACAGGCAGGATGTGAACCTGGGCTGCCCGCTTGAGATGACAGCCTCAATACATGGGGTGTGCGCCTTAACCATTGCCCACCAGTGTGCCCTGATCCTGCACTTTTTAACCACCTGTCCACTGTGCCAGGACATCATCATTCTTTAATTGTACTTCATATTGTGTTTTATTTTGACATGTAAACTTATGATTTCCATGCTAAAGCCTTTGCATTTAATTTAAGTTAATTGAGAGAGAGAGAGAGAGAGAGAGAGAGGGAGAGAGAGAGAGGGAGCATTGCTAGCAACATGCAGCCTATTTGTTATAATAAAAACCAAAGGTCCAGGTCCAACACATACTTTTTATTTTTATTTTGATATCCTTTATTAATCCAGAGGGGAAATTCTGATTTTACACTCTGTTATTTATATGGACATGCTTCTCAAACACATAAGCCCGAATCACACGCATGCACTAACAGAAGCTGTGGACATGCATTGGTGGAGAGATGTCAGAGTGGGGCTGCTACACATTGCTAAGCACAGAGCGCACCAGAGCAGTTGGGGGTTCGGTGCCTTGCTCAAGGGCACCTCTGCAGTGCTCTGGAAGTGTCCTGGCACCTCTCCAGCTACAGACCAACTTCCATATTACGGCCCGCCCCAGGACTTGAACCAGTGACCCTCCTGTTCCCAACCCAGGTCCCTACAGACTGAGGTACTGCCGCCCCTAGACACTCTTTTATTACCATGCATGTGCATTTTTGTAGGCCTATATAAAAACTACACCTGCATAGTTTAACCCAACATTGTCTGATTTCTGTTATAAATCCTGTACTTGCAGTTTAGTGGTGTCTGTGAAGTCTGGTGTTACTAACTCCATTATCTGGCAAATCTCCATTAGCTTCTTGTCCAGATGTTTTTCAATGAACAGGTGTTCAAACACAGTTCCAAAAGGTACCACTCTTAAGCTCTGCTTTGAATTCATATTCAAGTTATTCAGGAGTCAGCCTGCAGAGACATGTGCTGCTACCTGATACTAAACTAGTTGCTGTTAACATCAACAGATTAACAAAAAAAATCATTTGAAAGCACCTTAAAGGTAAACCTGATCCCCATTCAAATTCATGAATGGACTGTTTTGGCACTGATAACAATTTTCAAAGTGTAGTGTTTCCTCTGATGTCTCTTATAGATTAAAGGGAGCATTTCTTTAAAGACATGTGCATATGAAAATATTAGGCCTATAAATCCAAGTGCCTGATAACAACTTTTGAAATTAAACATGTCTATTCTGTAGCTTTTGAGTCAGTAGATTTGACTTGACCCTGAAGATGTCTTAAAAAGCCAAGCCGAAAAAAAAGTTTACCCTTTTGTGAATAAGAGTAATCATAGTCAGGCGGCTGCGGCCTCTTCCATCAGTGTGTGAATGGTTAGGTATGATTTACTTTAAGTAGTCAGAAGACTAGAAAATGACTTCAAGAACTTCAACTAGAAAAAGTCCAGTTACCATATACTAAGTCCATATCAGCTTTTTGAATAGCCTGGCTAATTAAGAATACTTAATACATTAAATAAATTGTCTCAATAATAGGCATTGGCTTCAAAATATTTTTTATGATAATATTTGTCTACAGCATGTGATTTAATTCCTAAGCCATTATAGCTTATTGCTTTGTGTATTTGTTTCATTTGAGGGGTCGAATAAGAGGTTAAGCTTTACAGTAGACTTTTATCCGCTGTAGGCCTCGATGAATGTCAGAGCAAGTGTAAGACCGTAACACCAGGAGGGTTGTAGGAGCAACCAGGGGATCAAAATCAATCTATGAATGAATTGCAGTTATTCGTTCTTTTACAAATGTGCGTTTGCCTTCGGATCAGTGATGACGTGGGAAAACAGCCTTTCAGTGGTGGTATCACTGGTCTTGATTTAAAATATGGAGTCCGCCCAGTCTGAAACCGAGACTTTCGATTCTGAGACGAGACTGTGATCCTCAAAAATTGGTCTTGAACCCAAGACCGGTTTCGAGTGCTACACTAATTTGAGTATCGAGTATTAATTTATCCTCTTGCTACTGTCATTTAAAAAAAATAAAATGCACACGTCATACAATTAATGTTTTTTTATTTATAAAAAGCAGACAACAATATCAAAAAATACATAAAAACTGTCTGAAAGAGGAGGGGAGTGGCGATTGGTCGATGAAACTTTTACAGTGTGATGTTCATCTGTAATGAGCCGGTGTGAATACAGTCGCTCTCAGTCAAACCAAATATTTAGTTACCAAACTACCAACCTCGTCCCTTTCAACCCACTTCTCTACAGAATGAACACACTTAACGTCCTCATATTTATATGCATTTATACAATGAGTGAAGAAAACAGAAGAAAGATGATGGAATGAAAGCACAGACAAAGGATTCAGGTTTGGTTCAGCTCAGGTCTTAAGGCTTTTTTTTTTTTTTTAACCAACGCTCACTTGTAGAAATCCATATCGACATCTTCCACAATATAAAAGAGATAAAAGTATTGAAGTGAAATGGCAGTTGGAATAATTTTGTCTCAAGCTGTTCAAGCATGATTGTTTCACATTTGAACTGGCTAATTTGTAACTCATGGATACTGGCAGGCACATGAATGTACTACATGTACTACCCCGAGATAACTGAAACCTCAGGCATTGTTTACATTGTTACAGATAACTATTTTATTTAAAAAGTAATGTTCATTACTAGGACAACATGAACATTAAAACAAGTGGAAAAGATATAAAGAGAAAATATGCTCTTATGAAGATGTTGACTTTTGAGTCTTCATAAGCACATACAGAGGAGAGGTTTGTTATGAGACCTGATACGTGTCCATGCTGCTTGTAAATTCAAATCAAGAGAGAACAGCTGTGATATTAATGGTCACATATTATGTAAAATGCACTTCACCATGTTTTTCTAACACTTATGTGTGTCCATAGTCTGTCTACAAACCCCGTAATTATGAGAAAAGTCTATCCTCTCCATCGCTTGCCCGCTCCACTTTTCAAAAAAACATTTGCTCAAACAGGCCGTTTGGAGATTTTATCACAAAGGGAAGTAAGCCCTCCCCCTGGTGGGTGACACTCCCACAGCTAGGTGTTTGTTCTGCCGTCTGAGTCTGCCTTCTCACCGTTTACAGTAGGGTATGGTGCAAGAAAGCCAGTCACCCAAGCCCTTAAAGAGGGGGCGTGGTCAGACACAGATATTTGCATTTAAAGCTACAGACACAGAAACAGCCTGTTCTGAGCAGGGCTGAAATAGACGCTTGTACAGGCATGATCAAATACAGGATCAGAGTGGATTCACAACAAGAAGCTTTACAGACATGTTTTTGGGGAGCTCTGAGATGTATTTCAACTGGTTAAAAGGGAGAATAATATGTGACCTTTAATACGTAAATGTACAGTATATCATTTTATATACCAGCTAAGGTTCAGTTTCCAGAACTATGAGACCCTTGCCTGTAATTGGAACATTTGACCCAAACATCAAATAGAAATGACAGATACTTGTGTTGTGAAACTAAAAGTAAAGTATTTACAGGGCTCTGGTGCAAAGGTCAGGGTTGTTCCGGTGAACTATGTCCGTGAAACAAACACAACGTCAGGATGTTGAGTGGCTGATTGAGGACTCTCAGGATGAGCACCTTGTCACTGTTACTGTCGAGGTAAAGAGATTTTTTTTTCTCGGTCCTTCCACAAAAGTTTTGCTTAAATCTGTAGAAGTGACGTGATGTTTCATTCTCGTGGGTCAAATTTCTACGTCACTCTCTTTGTCGTTGTCATGGTCACCATCGTAAAACTCGTTGGCTGCCTCTGGCCTGAAGAAAAAAGAAAGTACACGATGAGTTTGGAGATCACTAACACTTCAAAAGTCACATTTTAGCTTCTGTCTGGTGTGTCCACGCTTTCCTGACCTGGTGTAGTTCTCCTCTGCTCCCCTCTCATCGGGATCCGGCTCGTCGTTGCGTTCATAGCTCAGCATGTCGGAGGGAACATCATGGATCTGGACGCTCGGTGCGTGGTTCAACATCTTCAAGTTCTCGAACACAGTCTGGCGAATCTGCTCCAGGTACTGCACCAAAGTGTCCAGAGTTTCAACAACAACAAATGGTAAATGCACTTGAGCTTGTACAGCGGTTTTCTAGTTTTTCTGAGTACTCAAAGCGCTTTCACACCTACACATTCACACACTGATGGTAGAAGCTGCTATGTAAAGTGACCATCAGACGTAACTCATCCCATTCCTACACATTCAGAAACTTAGGGTTAAGTGTCTTGCCCGAGGACACATCAGACATGTAGCTGCAGGAGCTGGGGATCGAACCCCCCGACCTTCCTGTATATAGATGAACCACTCAACCAACTGAGCCACAGCCGCCCAATAAGGGACTTATGCTTTTTCAATTTGATCTCTTTGCCCCAAAAAGAAATACCTCAGCACTGGGAAGCAGGAATAAGTCTGTTATAACCATTGCTAAATCCTGAGGACTCTCTAGAGGGTACGTAAACTTCTCTACTATAATGCTGTCAATATGAGAGTGTGTGTTGATGTTTTTACCTGTCTGGAGTTCTGGTTTTCTATCCTGGTGCTGACATCAGGATGCAGAGTGAAATCTGGGGCAAAGTACTCAAAATACTCTGTAAATGACAGAAAGGAGGAGAAGGAGCCATTTAGAAGGAATTCACGAGTGTTTTACATCAGATTTTACGATGAAAGAAAGGCATCTAAAAAGTTAGTTTATGGTAAAAGTCAAGACTACTTTAGGCTGATATAGCTAAGAGTGACACTAAACAAAGAAAGAAAAAAGAACAACGTTTGTCAATCGTGGCTCTGATACTTCCTGTTACTGCTCACTGCACAGCAGTAACGTTAAAAAAGACCACTGAAGACTCACCGCTATAAGGCAGCTCATCACTGATGGACTCATCTAATAACAGAGACGTCTCAAATGTCCTGCAAGAAAGAAACAACAGCTTTCATTTCAATACAAACCAAAGAACTCTGACCTCCACACTGCAGGTCTGTATATCAGACTTACCAGCAGCGAGCCACATTCCTCACGGTGTATCCTCCTCCTCCCAGGACCAACAGAGGGATCTTAAAACTCTTGACAAACTCCACACACTCACTGACAGACGCAGAGCACACACACAATTAACTACAGATCACAAGTGTAAACATTCTTTATAACTTTGAGAAAACAAAATGTAAATATTGTGTACTGGTGGTTTGCAAACAGTAGAGGAAATGTGTCAACTCATCAGTTACCTCAGAGTAAATTAACTGAATCACTAAATGTGTAACTATGCTGCAGGGATCATTAAGTGGTTTGATGACAGTCCCCCTTTAGTTAAAAGTAACCAAAACATATGAGACGTTTCCAGATTGTAAAAAAAAAAAATCGAGGCAAACACCAATTACAACTCAAGGCCAGCAGGTGGAGCAAGTGAGCACTTTTGAATACCTGGGTTTTAGATTGGTCTTACATCTTTTTGAATTAAAAACATTACATTCAAAAATAATCAAGGAAGAGATTCTAAAAGTGGTTAACATCAGAACAAAATCAGTCTGTAAACAAAGTCAACTGCCTCGTCATCATTAGCAGAGCAAGAGGTCAACCTTGCTTTGAGATATTATTCCCTGGTCAAAAGGCAACACTCGACTTTACCCAGTAAACAGTAACAAAAAACAAAAGAGCTCTGTCTCACCCATGTCCCCGTATACTGAGGTTGAAGCAGCCCAGTCTGTCACAGCCCAGGGAGTCCGCTCCGCACTGATGGGAGAATATTAACAAATCGTTTCATGTGTAAATACAGAATCATGATCTGATAGTTAACTGCATCTGGTCCTGTTCACAGTAAACCACAAACACGTGTTGATTTCTAACACACACAGACCGAGTAATCCATCACCTAATGAGAAGTGTTACAGAGATGAGCTATAAGAGATGATTAATCACACACTGACCTGAAGAACGATGCATGTAGGCTGGTAGAAATCCACCACCTGTTTAATAACCGGTTGGAACAGCTGCCTGTAGCCTGAAACACACACACACACACGTTCTTATATCACATGTAGAATGGGCCAGCTGGGGCTCAGAGGTGAAAAAGATGGTCTGCAACTAATGACAGGATCTGACGTTTGGTCTCCTGGTACTGCTGAAGGCATATCCATCGAGGTGTGTGTGTGTGTGTGAATTATTTAAGTAACAACCTGATGGGTTGGCAGCCTGCACCAGCAGCGTATAAATGTGTGTGATAGGGTGACTGATGCTGTACTTCAAAGAATGAAAGAGGTGCAATTAAAGTGCATTCTGTTTACGATGTCTGCACATATACACACCTAGAAATGTTGGTCGTCACATTGACAAATGAGAAATGGACTGCACTTATTAAGGGATTTTCCAAAAAAACATGTAACTTTCACCCTTTCACATACATGATTGCAGAGAGGCTACTATGCAAAGTGCCAACCTCGAGCGATTTGTGGTTCACTGTCTACCCCAAGGACACTTCAACATTTAGACAGCAGGAGTTGCATAGCCAACCTTCCAATAAGAAAACTCGCTCTTCCACTGAGACAAACCCATCCTCCATTCAACATAATAATGCAGATCTGAAAATCTACAGAACTTTGGGCACTCACTCTGGTCATCGATTCCATCTCTGAGAGGAACGTTGAGGCAGTAGTACCGTCCACTCTCAGCTCCAACCTCATACATGTCACCTGCAGAAAGCAAATGCACACATGCACACAGTTATGCACACGAGACAACTACAGAGCGTTTGCACTAACTGCTAAATTCCACCAGATGCGTGTTTGAACCGTCTCCGCTACGCTCCGTCACGGCAGCAGAACCGATAGGTATTTACTTTCATCCCAGCTCTGGCAGACCAGAGTCCTCTGCGGAAGATACACAAGGCTTCTATCTTTGCTGGAGCAGGGCGCATCAATTTACCACAGAGCAGGTCGAGCGGGACAGGAAGTCACACACCGAAACAACATTGACACATCCAGGTTATTTTCAGAATAAACGGAAGAGAGAGCACGGAGCTGTGACGGAGCGGGGCTGACACGAGATGCACATGTATCTGGTGGAAGTTCTGGGTCAAACAGTGCTGAGTGCTGAAACACCTCATATTTAACATTTGACTTTGAACCACTGTTAAACATTTCAGTGACGTGTAGAGTGTGGCACAAGTGTCTTAACGTGTAGCTTTAGAAATTTTGATTAATCCGTGTGGTTGCTTAAACTTTGGAGTTTTTCTCATTTAATGAAAAATAAATACTCTATATAATAATATAATAATAATATATTCTATTCATTTGCATAGCAGTGCAGGCCTCATTTGATAAAGTCAATAATCAAACAATTTTTTTATCTGACTGTCTTTCTTTTAGGACAAAGTGTTACTGCTAGCTCCAGATGAAACACTTCTCCACGATCTGCTCATGAACGTTGAGGGTGTAGTGTAAACAAAAAGAGATTCTATGAAAATATGTACGGGACCTGTTCCTGGAAAAAAGTAGTTTCCATATTTGTGAAAGGACACGGTCATGACCCTGTCAGTCAGGTAAAAGGCTTCCTGGACGCCGTCGCCATGGTGAATGTCGATGTCGATGTAGAGAACTCTGGGGTGGTATCTGTAACATAAACAGGTGTAAGGAGAGAAACTGACACGGCAAACGTTATGTGAAGGTTTTTTCATGTCAGAGAAGAGTTCTCTTACTTGAGCAGCTCCAGTATACTGATGACGATATCGTTGACATAACAGAACCCAGATGCCTGAAACACACAGAATAAAAAAAAAAAACACCTCAACCCTTTAGTACTTGAAGCATAATTGAAGGAGTTTAGCAGAAAATATTGATATAGAGGACTTTGCTCTGACCTCAAATTTCTTGGCATGATGCAAACCACCGGCCCAGTTAATGGCAATGTCACAGATCTGAAAAACAAATTAAATCACAGAATCAAACTGTAGTCCCACCAGGTCCGCCCATAGCGCGGAAAACATTCTGCTTTGTATGAATGATTTACTACACATACAAGATGCAGATCAGATGCTTACACTGTGTGTGTGTGTGTGTGTGTGTGTGTGTGTGTGTGTGTGTGTGTGTGTGTGTGTGTGTGTGTGTGTGTGTGTGTGTGTGTGTGTGTGTGTGTGTGTGTGTTACCTTGTGGTTGAGCTGTGTAGCTCCCTGCAAGGATGCTCCTGTGTATCTAGAGCAGAATTCAAAAAGTCCTGGAAACACAGGACTGAAACAAAAAACATAACATTTAATTATGACTCAGTTAGCCCTCTAAAAACAGTCAAAGTTATTTTGAGAATTAAGGGGGGGGGGTTGTATCATATGTATAAATTTGGCATCATGTTTTCTAAAACAAACCACTTGATGAAAAAAAAATAGAGTAATGCTTACCAGTCGTCTCCCACATTGAAGGTGTTGAGGCTCTTTGTGAAGCCCTGCATGTTGTTGGGGCTCACCTTCTGGAGGAAGTCGATGTAGTCTTCAGAGTGGAACCGACACATGTCGTGCTGAGATGCTTTGTATGGCTTGAACACCTTATAGAAGAAGATCAAACACAATGTGATAGCGTAAGAAAGTCTTATTTTGAAGGGTGTGAATCTGTAACAACAGTTTTGCTGTACTGCTCACCATCATCTTCTTGTAGAGTCCATAGTGCAGCACCAGACTGTGAGTCAGAGACAATCGATGAGGCTTCATTGGGTGGCCAGCGCCTGGCAGAGACAGAAAGTTTCCACATATATTCCATGAATTCAATCAAAGCGTATTAGACAGTCTTCAGTGATTGCCAATGTGGTACTAAGTGATCTGAGATTGACAACAACACCGAGTGGATAAATAAATGACCACATCATTCACACAATAATAGTTACATTACTACATGGATTTATTTGTTACACCTACAAGAAATCACACTGCTGAAACACTAAAACAGACAAAATAACAGTAGCACATCAATGTTTGTGCATAGTGAGCACTGCAGTTATAATAGACTGTAAATAATAATGTCCAAAGCCTGAGTGATGTCACCCATCTGTTACTACAGGGGGTCTCCAGAGGTAAAGTGCAAAAAACAACACAAGAAATGAATGGCAGTGGGGATGTGGTCTGCATATTCTAGCTAATGCTCACATGTGATGTGCTGAATATTTTTGTATCCCATTACCATCTTAATTTGAAAACCCAAAGCAGGTAGATTGACATCAATGGTATTAATGGATTTAACAGAAGAAATCACTCGTTGTATTGATGAGAAGTATGTAGCATGAGCTTTTATAGATTCAAATTAAGCATTTGACCCCATAAACCATGACATATTACTCCAAGAATTGGAAAGATGGTTTAGGAGGGGTGGTGTTGGATTGGGCGAAAAGGTACATGGGTAACAGGCAACAGCTTGTGCAAATGGGTGATTACATATCAACACGCCTGGACATAACTTTTGGGGTCCCACAGGGAATGGTAAATGGACTACCTACACATTGACACACTGACTGATGGCAGAGGTTTCTATTTAAAGTGTCCATCTGTGTTAACTGATCTCATTCATACACCGCTGACCAAGCAGTGGGAGCAATTTGGGGTTCAGTGACAAGGACACATGCCATGTGGCTGCAGGAGCTGGGGATCGAACCCCCAACTTTTTGGTTGAGAGACGACAGACCCATAGCTGCCCCACAGTGCTCTATATCAGGACAGGTATGGTGTTTAGAAAAAAATAAAGTTTGTTTCATCCGCAGATGACACCAATGTTATTTGTTCGGGGAAATACCTGGAGCAGCTTTCGGAGGAGGTTACGTCAGAAATGATTAAATTAAAACGGTGGTTAAGCATACATAAATGATCACTCAATTTAAACACAACTAAATTGATGTTGTTTGGAAGCCGTAATATAGATAAACAAGCACAAATGATGATCGATAATGTTAAAGTTGAAAGAGTGTATAAAAACACATTTCTGGGTGTGATTTTAAAAGACAAAATCTACTGGAAACCTCAAATGAATTATGTCCGTCAGAGAGCGTCTCTGTTTTAGGGAAAACAGCAACACATACTGGACCATACATCACGGCACATTCTGTATTCTTCACTTGTACTACCATATCTAAATTACCGTGTGGACGTTTGGGACAACGATTACAAAAGCAACAATATTGCATACTTCTAAAGAGAGTGATTTGGACAGTACACAAGGTGGGGTGTAGGGAACACTGAATGTATAGATCTGGTCAAACTTAAAAAGGCAATAATCAGGTTTAAAACAAGAATAAGAGTCCACATTTAAAAAAAAAATGTTTTGTGACAGGGAGAGGGATTATGATATCAATTTAAAAAATAAACAATATGTAAGAAGAGTCGATTTCAGGGTACGAGTTGGAACTGAAACAAAAGCACAAATATAAATCAATTCAAAAAGATGATATTATATTAGGTACATGGAAGAAGGAAATGTTGCTTTAGTGGAGTTCATTGATTTAGTAAAACAGTGTGGACATGTCGACTGTAAACACACTGGGTTTGTTAATTATTTATTTTGGGTGGCAAATAAACTGGCGATACTTGTTGTGGTCAGAATATATTAAGGGTAAGGGATATACATATTTAACTTCTACTTTTACACAGTTACTTGTTTTAATGATCTAAATAAAGTCTTTGATTCATGATCATATCGTCGAGGTTACACAGCTTTAGTTTACTGTTTTTTTTTTTTATCCAAACACATTGTACTTTAGCTATCTAGTAAAATGATACTTTCTATAAGACAACCTGCATGAACGAGACTCTAACCCTGATCCTGAACTTTGACTTTTATCAGGATGAAGTGACTGTGTGTGAACTACGTTTAGGACTACAGGACAAACAAGGCAGCTAGCATACAGTGACCCATTTAAATTATTACACTAAAATAAGACAGATAAATGAGAAACTGATTCAGAGTATTACAAAATGACGCGATAAACACCCATTTTACCACATTAGGAAAACGTCAGATGTTAATAGTAACATAAATGTGGACATGAGCACTGACAAGAGAGATCTGATTTAGCATGTAGCTAATAGCTCTGATCGCATCGTTTGTCTTTTTCACGCCTCAACGACACTCACCATAATGAAAGTTGCCCACATCTGGGTCGTAGAAGTATGATGTCCTATTGGTCATTTTGCAAGAAGAAGGTTTTTTATTACTATTTGCGTAAAAACGTTGTTGAAGCTGTAAACCCACAATTTTCTTTCAATCAGCAGATAGCCGCCATGATAAACACTGCCGGCCCTACGTCATCAAAAGTGGACAGTGATGGCAGAGAGGGGCGGAGGGGCGGAGGAGGAGAAACTCATGTTGGTTATCCTGATTCAGAAAGGAATTTATTTAAATGACCCTACTTATCGTTCCCTATTATTAACAGACCCAACACAATTGTCAATAAAAACATAGTATAGTGTTGTGGGTTGGATTTCACCACCTGTGGGTCTGTTAGGACTGTGTGAAGGCCCTGACATATGGAATCATATTTGTGCCAGAAAAATCTAACAAAACTTCTTAAATTGCAAACAAAAAACAGGACTTTGAGAGATATAATCTCACTGAAGCAAAGAAAATATATATTTTAACAATTAAATACAATTCTCTTATACAATTAAAATATTTGTGTAGTCGTGTAAATAATCGGCCTTTTTCTTTTCTCATTATCAGTCCTTTTTTTTTTTTTTACAGTTCCCTCTTTTTCTTTCTCACTGATCAGACTTTTGCTCTCACTGTCAGCTTTCTCGTTTGTGTTCTGCTTGTGGGTGGGCTTTTTGAGGAATGCGTCCCCATTGGCTAATGAGTTTTTGAGTGACGTTCTATGATAAGTCTCTCTGCTTGATAAGTGAAACATAATATAGCCTGTATTTTTTTTTTTCCTCTTCATTGAACAAATTCCTATAAGGAATTTAACATTTGCTTACGAAACAGAAAAGTATGCATGAAAACATGTAAAAACACATCAGATACGGTCAGTATACATTACAAATAAAAAATATTAAGACAAAAATACAATGAAACAGAAGACTTTTAACACAGGGTTGAAAAAATAAATTATAAAAGTGTTGCTTATGCTACAAGGGATATACAGTCACAGTACTCACAACTAAAATGTTAGAAATAAAAACATGACTTCATGTAATTTGTTAATGAACTCACTGTTTTTAGACATCACTTTTAAAGAACATAAGTATTGTTTACATTCATTTTTAAAATAGGCTATGGAGAGTTTGTTGTTATTCCATTTACATTTATGTATGTGATATTTACCCAGTAAGAGGATTATGTTGACCATATTGGACACCTTATTGGGAAGATCATCCATATATATCAAAATTTGAAAAGGTTCAAAGGATGGGTTCTCAGTTCTCATGTTTAACCAGTTGTAAAGATCCCGCCAAAACTGCAATGTGATTGAACAAGAGAAGAAGAAGTGCTCAATAGTTTCAGCTTTTTCTAAACAGAATCCATACTGATCTAGCCTACTTCAAAATTATACCTCTAAAGTAAGATTTCAGCAGCTGGGTAAACATTGTTTGATATCTTAAACTGCATTTCTTTTATTTTAGGAACTACTGGCCATTTAAGATACTTACAAGATGTATTAGTTATCATTGAATCATTTCCTAATCTTAATTTAGCAGGTGAGTTAAAATCAGAAAATAATATGCATTTCAAACCCCTTCAAGTAAACTTACTGTTACATTTCCTTTCTCTGATGTGCATTACACCAATTTTTAGTTCTGGAAGTTTAACTGTAACATTTGAATATGTCAACGTATTTTGTATCATGTGTTTTAAAGGAGTCGGGATGGCTTTACAAATGCAAGAGAATTCTCTATAGGAGCAGTTAACATTAAACTTTTCAATACATGCGTTAAACAATATGAATTGGACACATTCATCCATTAAATCAACAACAAATAAAATCTTTTTCTCGGACCATTCATTTTTGAACAAAGTTTTTCTATTGATTGCAATGGTCCTATTATTCCACAGGGTGGAGCCGTGTGGTGTGAAGTTGTGGGTAAATGTCATCTTCCAGTAATGCACATTTTTTTATGGAAGTTTGAGAGCTTGATAGGTAGTTTGAAGATCTCAAAGTCAAAGCTCATCAAAAATTCCAACACTCCAAGTTTCTGGAATAAGCACAAGGAACCACAAAGAGTCAGGCTGTGCCAACTAGTTTTTAATCCAGTTTAGTTTGAATACTCCTTTCATAGATTCAAATTCAATGGCTTTTACACCACCATGAACATAGTCTTTGATAATGTGAGATTTCTTTAGATAGTGGGTTTTGTTTTTCCATATATAGTTAAAGATAACTGAGTTCACTCTTTGGATCATTTGAGGAGAAACATAAAGCGAGGATAAATGAGTTTTGATATGCCTCCCGCCTTGGTCAGCAGAATTCTACCAAGAACCCCCATAAGGGGGGGTGTTTCGTCTTTTTCAATTTTTTCAACAGGGGGTGTTTCGTCTTTTTCAATTTTTTCAACAGGGGGGTGTTTCGTCTTTTTTCAATTTTTTCAACAGGGGGTATTTCGTCTTTTTTCAATTTTTTCTTAGGGGGGTGTATGTATGGAAGCGTATTGCATTCATGTGGAGATTTTTTTTGGCCTGGTTTATTGTTATAACGAGAAAAGATCACATAACAGACTAAAATGATACTAGAGGGGTAATGAAGTTTGCATTGTGGCAGGCAGAGGAGGGAGGAAGATCAAAAGGCAACGATGATCAGGTTTGTTGATTTGATTGCATCTTGGGTTAAGACATTGGGAAATATTAGTGTCTTTGAGTAACATAGATGGTATTATCATGAGCTTGTCAACTTTGCGCAGGCATCTGAAGGCGTTAAGGTTGTTCAGACGGAAACAACACTCTGACCTACTTGACATTTCGTTATTCCTCCAGGATCAGTTGAATAAATACGGTATGCTTCACGGATATAAAGTAATGCATCTGAAATGCATTTAAGCTGGCTATGTGGTGACTCAAAATACGATTAGGCATTTGCTGAAAATACTGGATGCCCATGGAGTTCAACTGCGCCGCCTACCAAAACCCAGGTCCGAATTTCTTGTGGCATGTTGATTCCTATGATAAACTGAAACCATATGGGATCTGTATTAACGGTGCAACTCTGTGGCGCAACTCAGCACAGATGCAAAATCTGTTCTCATGCTCAGCTGCGAGACACAGAGACCATCGACAACAACTGCATGCGTTTTTCACACTTTATCCTTAATGGGGATAGATAGTGTAAAGGTTGAAAATCAACAAAGTCATCCATTAAGTCAAATGTAATTCCAACATCAGTGGAGAATAAGTTCTATTTGCATTGAATTGGCTTGGATTAAAACAACACTGTGTGTGTGTGTGTGTGTGTGTGTCTGTGTGTTGTGTGTGTGTGTGTGTGTGTGTGTGTGTGTGTGTCTGTGTCTGTGTGTGTGTGTGTGTGTGTGTGTGTGTGTGTGTGTGTGTCTATGTGTGTGTGTGTGTGTCTGTGTGTGTCTGTGTGTGTCTGTGTCTGTGTCTGTGTCTGTGTCTGTGTGTTTGTGTGTGTGTGTGTGTGTGTGTGTGTGTCTGTGTCTGTGTGTGTGTGTGTGTGTGTGTGTGTGTGTGTGTGTGTGTGTCTATGTGTGTGTGTGTCTGTATCTGTGTGTGTGTGTGTGTGTGTGTGTGTGTGTGTCTGTGTCTGTCTGTGTGTGTGTGTGTGTGTGTGTGTGTGTATGTGTGTGTGTGTGTGTGTGTGTGTGTGTGTGTGTGTGTGTGTGTGTGTCTGTATCTGTGTCTGTGTGTGTGTGAGTGTGTGTGTGTCTGTGTCTGTGTGTGTGTGTGTGTGTGTGTGTGTGTCTGTTTCTGTGTGTCTGTGTCTGTGTGTGTGTGTGTGTGTGTGTGTGTGTGTGTCTGTGTGTGTGTGTGTGTGTGTGTGTGTGTGTGTGTGTGTGTCTGTGTGTGTCTGTGTCTGTGTGTGTGTGTGTGTGTGTGTGTGTGTGTGTGTGTGTGTCTGTGTCTGTGTGTGTCTGTGTCTGTCTGTGTGTGTGTGTGTGTGTGTGTGTGTGTGTGTGTGTGTGTCTGTGTCTGTGTGTGTCTGTGTGTGTGTGTGTGTGTGTGTGTGTGTGTGTGTGTCTGTGTGTGTCTGTGTGTGTCTGCGTGTGTGTGTGTGTGTGTGTGTGTCTGTGTGTGTGTGTGTGTGTGTGTGTGTGTGTGTGTGTGTGTCTATGCGTGAGTGTGTCTGTGTGGTTGTGTGTGTTTCTGTGTGTGTGTGAGTGAGTGTGTAATATGCAAAGTTGTCTTTGCATATTACACAAGCATACACACATACCTGTTGACACCTGATGACACGTACAAAACTTTAATTTCATAAATTTGTAGTTGATTTTATTGTTGTTACAAAAAGGAAATTGCTGCAACCTTTACCGTTTGTATTCTGTCATCTTTGTCCCAATGAACCTTGTTTTTTTTTTCTTTGTGTCTTTTTAACAGTCAGTATTGTACTTTTTCAATGTCTCTAGTTTGTAATGTAAAACAAAGAAGAGAAAAAATATTTTATCCATATTTCCTTTCAAGCAGCACTTTCACAGTGCTTGTTTTTGCCCAAATATGGGCATGGTTTTATACACACACAAACACACATATATATTTAGGAACAATATGTTACAATCTACCTATTAAACACAATCTATTGACATGACTGACACTCAGGCAGTAAAGGCTAAAGCTCTTTTTGATGTTCAAGATTAAGGAGCAGAAAACGTTTTAGTAATTCCAGCTGCAAAACCCTCTCAAGCTGTGTCTTCTTACAGAAGGTTGTAGTACAAGTTCTTCAATGATGGACAGCTGGACAGCTTGGAGACAGTGGCTGAGAGGAGGATGAGGGACAAAATCACAGCCATCCTGGACAACTCCTCTCACTCTCTCCATGATGAGCTGTGGCAGACGGGCAGTTCCTTCAGCCATCTTTTATCTTTATTTTATTCCTGTTTTATTTGTACTCATATGCACGCTCTTCTTTTCTTTTGCTGCTGCAACACTTGAATTTCCCCACGGGGCATCACTAAAGGATTATCTTATCTTATTATCATTCCTTTTTTGGACCTGCTATAGCAGCAGTGAAGTAAACTTAAGTTTATCTTTATGTTTGTTCTAAATTATTCAAATAATATTATGAGTTTTACATATAAAACAAACTAAGTACCTTTGCCAAATGATTCAATATCACACACTTAAAAGTTGCACTTGTAACAATTATTTATTTGATTTTTTTTTTGAAAATCAGAATCGCTGGGCTGCAGGCTGAAGAGGTGGTGCTGCGGGTGGAGGTGGAGGGGCAGGAGCGTTGAATTCATAGGGTTTATGTTTACAGTCAGCTGCTCCAGGAACGCAGAGGACTCCTGCCCTGTGAGACAGAAAAACAAATAGTGAGTAAAAAAGAGAGAACAGAACTCTTAACAGTCGATATAATGTTATATTTGCCTTCCAGGAATGGAATGATTAAACCTATAATAAACATAATCCACATATTCAGAGTTATCTTGACCTTATCATTACTTTATGTTGTAACTTCAACTATTGAGGTCTCAGTGTGGGGATTACTTACTCAAATTAAAGAGAGACGACCACCGCTCTCCAGCTGGTCCTGTAGTCATCCATCCTTCTCATCTGGTCTGGGATGTAAACATCTTCTCTTGATGTGGCGTCTTCATTCTCCTTGTTGGCATGTTGGTACAACAAAACACATAAAGATCCCACAGAGTTAGCCAGACAAATAATCATGAAATATATTTTAAGAAGTGCAAGAAATTCAACCAAAGTTGTTTTCAATTACATATAGTAAAATCAACAGAGGCTTTAAAATAATCTTTAATGTTAATGTTAAGAAATTATAACCTTACCTTTTTCATGGACAATCACCTATTAAAAAAACATGAACAGAATGAGTAAATTGATCTTTTTTTAAATTATTGACGAGAGGGATGATGATTTACAGGACACATTTGTTTGCATTGTCAACAAGTTAACTTACTTTAATCTGGAATAATCATCAACACTTTATGGAGACAAACAGAAACAAAAGAGTTAGTAGAAGTAATCATATATGAACAACTGAATAAGTGAATTGAATATTTAAAATACAAGTTTTGTTGATGCCGTTAAGAATTGTGAACTTACCTCTGGTACAGTCATCTACAGCTTTATTAATACAATCAAATCATAAGGCAGCCAGGTATGAATTAGAACCTGGTGCTAGAGATACCACCTGAGTGATCACCAACCACATCAAATATTTGGGAAGTTGATCCTGGGCTCTTCAGTCCTGCTGGTCACAAAATGTATATACAATTTGTATACGCAAACAGGTCCTCTACAGCGACTGTTGAAGTCCGAGTCGCTGTCGTCCACAGGAGCTGGTCAGAATCTTCTGAGTGTAGAGGAGCTTGATCCGGAGGTGGCAGGCTGCTTGTCGTCGATGTCTTGGTAACCCCTCCTCTGCCTCTTCGCACCGTCCTGTGCAGCAGCACTCTCCTCCCTAGTCCTCTTCGCACCGTCCTGTGCAGCAGCACTCTCCTCCCCGGTCCTCTTCACACCGTTCAGTGCAGCAACAATCTTCTCCCTGGTCGTCTTCAAAACTTCCTGTGTCCTCTTCAAAATGTCCTCTGCAGCAGCACTCTCGTCCCTGGTCCTCTTCACAACGTCCTGTGCAGCAGCACTCTCCTCCCTGGTCCTCTTCACAACGTCCTGTGCAGCAGCACTCTTCTTCCTGGTCCTCTTCACAACGTCCTGTGCAGCAGCACTCTCCTCCCTGGTCCTCTTCACAACGTCCTGTGCAGCAGCACTCTCCTCCCTGGTCCTCTTCACAACGTCCTGTGCAGCAGCACTCTTCTTCCTGATACTCTTCGAGTAGGGGCCCAGGCCTGAGGTGAATGGAGCAGACTCTTCTGGAGTGGAGACAGAAGGACCAGCAGGAACAGGCGGTCCAGCAGGAGGACGAGCAGGAACGGGCGGACGGATGGAGACAGGCGGTCCAGCAGAAGGACGGACAGGCGGTCCAGCAGGAGGACGAGCAGGAACGTGCGGACGGATGAGGACAGGCGCTCCAGCAGAAGGACGGACAGGCGGTCCAGCAGGAGGACGAGCAGGAACGTGCGGACGGATGAGGACAGGCGGTCCAGCAGAAGGACGGACAGGCGGTCCAGCAGAAAGACGGACAGGCGGTCTAGCAGGAGGACGAGCAGGAACGGGCGGATGGATGGGGACAGGCAGTCCAGCAGAAGGACGGACAGGCATTCCAGCAGGAGGACGAGCAGGTAGACGGATGGGGACAGGCGGTCCAGCAGGAGGACGAGCAGGAGCGGGTGGACCGGTGGGGACTGGTGGACACCCTGGGAGGTGCTTCACGAGAGAGGAGCGAGGTCTGGAGTCTTCATCGTTTCCAGCGTCAGTCCAGTCCATGCTGTCATCGGTTTCTGGGTGTCCATGGTCATCAGTCCAGTCCATGAAGTCATCATCCTCCTCGTCATCGCTGACGTCGACGTCCATGAGGTGTTCGATGTCATCGTCAAAGACTGGGGGACTGCCCCCAGCCTTACCTGCTAAAGGAATTCCATACTTACCTTTCGCCACGCCAGGAATGGAGACGACTGGGAGACGGCGATCCTGGTCAGCGCGGACAGTCCTGACGACAGCGGGGACGCCATCTCCTGCAGGCTGCGCGGGGACGTTGGACACAGTGTCTGAGGGGGAAAAGCCAAAGGTGTGTTAATAATAAAATCAACAACTAACTTTTCCTTAGATCATTCAATGTTTGTAACCAAATAAACAACAATAATAAAATTAAAGTAAGTTGAGAGTGGCAGATATTGTGCACTATTTTATATTTCAACATTCTACATTTACTGGACCCTTTCTGACAGGCTGAACATGAAAGAAAAGTTTTAACAAGGACACATTCAGACTACATGGATGGAAAGAATATTCAATGATATGGCTGAAGAGTTTGAGTTTCAAAATTAGAAACTAAACTTCAAAGATGTTATCAAATGATGTCATGATTGCAAACATTTCTTACAGTGATAAAAACTTTAAAGATGTGAGACATTAAAATAGAGGCTGCAGAATCACCTGCCAGCTGAATGACGCTATTGTTTTGACTGAGGAGAACAGCCGTGTTTCAGAATATATAAATATATATTTATTAATATATAAACCTTGATTATCATTTTGAAGCCATTTTTATCAAACTTTTGTTCAGGTAGGAGGTGCTCAACAATCCTATCCTCAATAGCCCATTAAGGATGCCTAAGCACGGTCCTAATTTGAGTTAATTGAATAGGCTATGAGTATTTTAAAAGGACTAGGTGTTAATATAAACTAAAGATATAATAAACCAGACTTCAACAGTCCAATCAAACGATCAAGATCCAAATCCACTCAGAAGAACGTGTGACGGTCATGACGCAGCACGTGCGTCATGACCGTCATCTCCATGGTGCACAAGAAATACACATTTTTAGCATTTTACGAATTTCTGCTGATATCATGCTAACATTTGCTTAATATCGGTTCAAAATTTGGGAAAATAAAATGCTCTCAAACCAAAATAACATTGTTTAAACCACTTTAACTGTAAGGTAATTCCCTCCACTTTTTTCCCGGGATATTTGAAAGATTTAAGTCCTCAAAAAGTGTTTTACAAAGGGACGTCGACTAGTGAAAGGTTATTTCTAGAAATGAGTTTTCTTTCAAACAGGCCTAATAACACGGTGTGAACGACCTTCAAATGTAAAAGTTACACTGATTTCTGAACTGATAACGCATTTAAAAGTTGTAGGGAGGATTAATACTGCATTATTAAGTAGTAAACTGATCAATTAGGCTGCATAAAAGGGTTAAAGTCTTACCTGAACACTGTTTCGGAGGAGCGACTCCCACCGGCAGGTGTCCCGGGTCCATGAGTGGTCCGCTGAAGGCTATTTAAAGACTCTTCGGCTTTCCACTGGAGATGAAATATCCAAAATCTTTGTTAAAGTTTTGTAGAAGTTCTCTTGAGCGCTTTTCAAAGGTTAGCTTCACAGCTGAGATTTTGCAGGTCAACTCGTTCAAAGTTCAAGTGCAAAAGGGAAGAATTGAAGGTTCGATGGCCTTATATAGCCTCGGTTGGATCTGTTTCCATGACAATTACTGACGCGCTTGCGTGCGTGCGTGCGTGCGTTTTAGTGCAGGTACAGAAAGAGAAATATTGTTTTTATTATTTATCACTATTATTTTATTTTCCCTGTATTCATTTTTATTTTTCATACTTTTACAAATGTGTAAATGGTATAAAAATACTTTCATGATGATATTTGTGTGTGTTTGTGTGCCCGTCCTCATGTCTCTGCGTGCAGATGCATTTATATCTGTTATAAAGCCTTCACATGTATAAGAGGCTATTTATTCATGTTTCTATTTTGACTGAGACAGTCTACATTGTACTTCACTGTACCAGAGATACATGAGCTAAGTTACATCTGCAGGCCCTGGGCAGGAGACAGAGACAACATCTCTGTTAAAGATGAAACAACCCCACGATGTAAAAGTGACATTTACATGGTTGATGCATGATGACTGAATCATAAAATGATAATGATAGGCTACATCAAGAAATACAATTTTTGTCAATTTGTTTCTCTCCAAAAAAATAAAAATAAATCCGTGACAAAAACACAAAGTAGGCTACAACAGGTATGTGTTATCATCAAGCTATTTAAATCACCTAAATTCAATTACCTGATTAATTTAGTTTTTATTATTATTTAATTACCCTACGGTGCCTACAATATACAACATGCATTTTGTGAAGGTGAAAACATTCCAATCGCAAATATTTAATCAATTTAGCCTTAGAACAATGTTGATAACTTTGTCATTGTTTACATATTAATCATGTTTGCAGCTTGTAAATGTTTGCATGCATTTTCTTTCTGTAAGACACATTCGTTTTTAAAAGCAAATCAGCAGAAAAGAAGCTTTTGTATGTTGCAAAGTGTGTTAAGAATTTCTCTCACTTTATTGATACATTTGAATCAAAGACATTAATGTGAAAGAAAAAAGTCATCATATCATCTTGTAATGTTGATTTTTTTTAACTGTTTCACATGACAACATGTAAAGGTACCACACTAAGGACCATTATACAAATTTTGCATAAGCTTACTTCAGATTTGTACACCAACACTGACACTGATAAACCAGCAGAGGGCGCACAAGTACAGCTTCTCCAGTCTGTAAGCCTCTGTTCAGGTTTTAACTTAAGAATTCATTCTTCAGAACAACATCATGAACACAAGATAGTTGTGCATTATAGAGCATGTTTACACATTTATTCTAATACGGTTTTTAGCTTAATCCTTTGCTTTATTTATAAACTTTGGGCTATGATGTTATGACCCTGCTTGCATGACAATGACAGTATCCACATTTGTGATCATCAGTGTATTCTGTGTTCAAAATTAAACTAGTGCAATTTAAAAAAAAAGACAAAAACTTTTACATAACCTGTGCAGGGATAAAGATGGATGTGTAGTTTAAAAAAACCTATTAACAGTTTAATAGAAGAACAGCTATGTATGCTGTTAAGAGTTCAAAAGCATAATATAATATGAGGCCACGCTGCAGTCCTCACACCACTGGCAGCGTGCCTGCTAAGAAAAGAGCAAAAAAATTAGGAATAAGTCAAAAAATACGAACCACATCCAAAAAGAGAGAGCAACTGGGAACATGGCTTGATTATATATAATATGAGGCCACGCTGCAGTCCTCACACCACTGGCAGCGTGCCTGCTAAGAAAAGAGCAAAAAAATTAGGAATAAGTCAAAAAATACGAACCACATCCAAAAGCAGCAGAGAGCAGACTGGGTAACATGGCCTTGATTATATAGCCTGGGAGCACCGGGCCCAGGTGTTTGCCGTAGTACACCCTTAGTTGTGATCTGGCCTAAACAAACATTACAGTGACACCAAAAAAACATCCACCTTACTTTTTTTTTTTGTTACCCGCTCTGATCGTATCCTAATGTGTCTAACATCTAAGGTGTAAGACTGAAGAAATAGCATCCATTGGCTCAGCTTGTTTTTCAACTTCATCATGAATCTCTGTTGAATTTTCATCTTTGTCTACCAGAAGCTCCGTCAGTAAGTAAAATCTTAAGAGCCCCAATTTCAGTGCCTCATACAGCTCTCCCACATTAACAGTATCCTCAAGTTCTGCTTCCTGAAAGTCAACAATGTTGTGACTGAAAAACAGCTGTTTTGCATGTGATATAATGTCTTTTTTTGTGGCACTCTTTGCAATATCAAAGATTCTGCATCCTCCAGCACAGCGTTTTCTCACTTGCTTTCCCTCATGTATCCATCCTAATTCTACTTTTCTTGTCATCTTGGCAGCCCATTTATTATGTCTTAGGTGCTTCCTTGATTGTTTGATAGTACAACTCTCCTCATCAGAATCTTCTTCACCCTTATCTTTGTTGCTGGCTGTCCTCATCTTCCTTCTGAGTTTGTCAAGCAAGGATAGTCTGTTGGCGTCATCTTCCATTTTTCTTTTGTTTTCCAAAGCAGAACCGCCAAGTAGCAATCCGGTCACGATATGTCGGAATGTAAACAGCCATAGGTGCATCATTCAGTTCTCCAGCTACTGAGGTGTCAATCTGTAATGAAGTAAAACATAATTTAGTCCATCTAAATGTCAATATATTTCAGTAGCACTATTTGATGTCTTCCAGTATAAGTATATCATATTTATACCAAACATAATATAGCCTGTATATTTTGTTTTCTCTTCATTGAACAAATTCCTATAAGGAATTTAACATTTGCATACGAAACAGAAAAGTATGCATGAAAACATGTAAAAACACATCAGATACGGTCAGTATACATTACAAATAAAAAATATTAAGACAAAAATACAATGAAACAGAAGACTTTTAACACGGGGTTGAAAAAATAAATTAAAAAAGTGTTGCTTATGCTACAAGGGATATACAGTCACAGTACTCACAACTAAAATGTTAGAAATAAAAACATGACTTCATGTTGTCATCAATGAACTCACTGTTTTTAGACATCACTTTTAAAGAACATGAGTATTGTTTACAGTCATTTTTAAAATAGGCTATGGAGAGTTTGCTGTTATTCCATTTACCTTTATGTATGTGATATTTACC